AACAGAAATATGTACAGTATTAACCAAATAAATAGCATAAATAATGATTTAATCTTCATTGATTCATATTTCTGAATGCACATTTACAACATATCCACATTGCCACAATATTCCTCCTCCTGTGATACATTTCAGATGTTGGCAACTCTAGAGAGAACATTATTGTTGGAGAGAGCGTTTGATAACTGCCTCAATGCACTTGGTTGTAAATATGACATAAAAAGCAGTGATGAAGTGTTGGTTTCAAATTACTCTGCTTCTTTTTAGAAAATGCTGTTTTTTGGCAAACCTACACTGAATTGAAAACAGCTGAGCTAATGCCATGCTACTAAAAATGTAGTTAAGTTCGTAAAATTGCTACTTTTGGTTAGTTACCCCAATGCTGGTGAAGACATGCACAGTAGGCACAAACAGATCATGCTGATTAGTAATCAGCTGTTTGGACTCTCATTCTGACGGCACCCATTCACTGCAGAGGATCCTTTGAGGGGCAAGTTATGTAATTTCTCCAAATCTGTTCTCATGAAGAAACAATTTCATCTACATCTTAGATGGCCTGAGGGTGAGTAAATTTGATTTTTAGGTAAACTATTCCTTTAAGAACAGAAATATGTACAGTATTAACCAAATAAATAGCATAAATAATGATTTAATCTTCATTGATTCATATTTCTGAATGCACATTTACAACATATCCACATTGCCACAATATTCCTCCTCCTGTGATAAATTTCAGATGTTGGCAACTCTAGAGAGAACATTATTGTTGGAGAGAGCGTTTGATAACTGCCTCAATGCACTTGGTTGTAAATATGACATAAAAAGCAGTGATGAAGTGTTGGTTTCAAATTACTCTGCTTCTTTTTAGAAAATGCTGTTTTTTGGCAAACCTACACTGAATTGAAAACAGCTGAGCTAATGCCATGCTACTAAAAATGTAGTTAAGTTCGTAAAATTGCTACTTTTGGTTAGTTACCCCAATGCTGGTGAAGACATGCACAGTAGGCACAAACAGATCATGCTGATTAGTAAAAACTAATGTGTTGAGTGGCCATGCCCACACACACACACACAAAAACACACACACAAAAAAAAAACATCAGCTAATTAAGAAGTCATTAGATGCATTAGTGCAATGACCCAAAAAACAAACAACAAGAGGGAGAGGGAGGCAGAGACACGGCCCAGAATGCAGCAGTCATCATAGTGCCATCCTCTGAGACGTGCTGATGGAAATCTACTTTGCTCCCAGGGTATTACCAATATTTACACAGCGAGGAAACCAGTGCTCATCGCTGAGACTCAACATGATTTCTATTTCATGATTTCTGAGTGCAAATGGAGCCTGTTTGCATGTACTTGTTTAAAGACTTGGCCTTATTCCAGTGGAAAAATAAACAAAGGACAGTAAGTATATAAATGCATAAAATATGATACAGATAAAAGCTGTGAACAGGGGCGGTAAAAGGCCGTCTCGCGTCTTTTGCAGCACCTCGCGTGACAGGCCCTTCTAAAAATGTGATGCTCAAGTTAAACGAAGTTCAGCTTTTAAAAAACATTCCTCCCATTCCACTGGCCAAATACACATGCTTCGTGAATGGCCTAAGACTGCATGCTCATGACTTCTTTGCTGTTAGGAAACTCTGGTTTCTCTGAAATCTCATTAATTCATGTCTAGTGTGTTCACACACTTACTGTAAGAACCAATAATATTTGTGTGTGTGTGTTTTTTTTTTTCTTCTACTCCGGAGATGGTGTTAAATATGCTGTCTTTCTTCCTTTATGCAAACAACATTTATAGATTCCTCGTGTGTATTTAAAAAGAAAATGCTGCATTACCAGTCAAAGGTTTAGACACACTTGCCTGAATTTATGTTTCTCATTATATATATAAAAAAAAATTGATCTAATGCTTTATGCATAAATGCTTTAAATTTGTTTGATGGTCTGAATTATTTGTGCATACAATCATTTTATTTACAGAGCTACAGTTTTATATTTTATTTTTATTTTTTATTTTAATATATTTTAATTATTTTATTTATTTTAATTTACTTGATTTATTTTTTACATATTTTTTTTGCCATTAAAAAAAATAATAATAATATTTTTAGTTACTATATAATTCCCATACTTCCATTTGTGATGGAAATATGGGATACTAATTGAACAATAATAATGGAATAATGGAACAAATTGAAGTATGGGAATTATAATTCCCATACTTCCATTTCCATACTTCCCATACTTCCATTTGTGTTTTGCTAACTTCACTATCGATCTAACATATTGAAAACAAAAGAATGAGAAGGTGTATTCAAACTTTTGACTGCTTTGAGTTTACATGAGCTGATAGTTATACAGTTATAGAGTGGCTCACTTTTGGAGAACCTGGGTGGGTTGTCGTTGACGTCACTCAGGGTGATGTTGATGGTGGTGGTCCCTGCCAGACCCCCTAACTGTCCGCCCATGTCTTTGGCCTGGATGAGGACCTGATACAGTTCCTTCATCTCCCGGTCCATGTTGGGTAGAGCTGTCCTGATGACTCCTGCACACAAGACGAAAAAAAGTCAGACTGCGTTAATGGAAAGAAGAGACCAGAGAAAAGGAAGATAAAGGGATAGTGAGGTAAACAGAGAGTATAGATAAAGAGGCTGTGAATACAGGCAGGTATCAGTGTGTGGAGAGAATCGGATTACAGAAAAGAGGGTAAGGTGAGGAGAAGAATAGGGTTTAGACCTGAGAATGAGGCCTGCTGAGAAAGGGATGTGAATGGTAATCTAAAAGAACAGACACAATTGAGATAAGAAAATTGAGAGTGGCAAAAAAAGGAAATGGATGAAGTTCTGCTGCATTGTGGAAAAAGAAACTGAAGCAAATTGAACCTAAAGGTGTAGTGTGTCATTTCTGCGCCATTATCAGTATCCTGAAAGTCTGTCTTACCTCTCTGCATGACATACCACACTATATTTGTGCTGTTTTAGGGTTTGAATTAGTGTTTGGAGGTTATAATTTAGTCCTGCCCAATGAAATACCTGGCTGATGAGATGTTACCTACATTTTTTTTAACACCTTTATCATGGTGGTTGTGTGTCCCAGCAGGTTTTAGTCTGCGTAACACAGTGTGCTACTACACGGAACGGGTCAAGGTTAGCATGGCCCTGTTAGCCTCTGATACCACAGCCATCTGATACTAAAAAAGCCTTTTTCTCTATTATTCAATGACTATTCTCAACCTTTTCTCTGAATGTTAATATTAAAGGAATACTCAGGGTTCACTGCAAGTGAAGCAGCTTCTGGAATATAATGTTAATAACCACATATCCACATTGCCACAATATTCCTCCTCCTGTGATACATTTCAGATGTTGGCAACTCTAGAGAGAACATTATTGTTGGAGAGAGCGTTTGATAACTGCCTCAATGCACTTGGTTGTAAATATGACATAAAAAGCAGTGATGAAGTGTTGGTTTCAAATTACTCTGCTTCTTTTTAGAAAATGCTGGTTTTTGGCAAACCTACACTGAATTGAAAACAGCTGAGCTAATGCCATGCTACTAAAAATGTAGTTAAGTTCGTAAAATTGCTACTTTTGGTTAGTTACCCCAATGCTGGTGAAGACATGCACAGTAGGCACAAACAGATCATGCTGATTAGTAAAAACTAATGTGTTGAGTGGCCATGCCCACACACACACACACAAAAACACACACACAAAAAAAACATCAGCTAATTAAGAAGTCATTAGATGCATTAGTGCAATGCACCAAAAAACAAACAACAAGAGGGAGAGGGAGGCAGAGACACGGCCCAGAATGCAGCAGTCATCATAGTGCCATCCTCTGAGACGTGCTGATGGAAATCTACTTTGCTCCCAGGGTATTACCAATATTTACACAGCGAGGAAACCAGTGCTCATCGCTGAGACTCAACATGATTTCTATTTCATGATTTCTGAGTGCAAATGGAGCCTGTTTGCATGTACTTGTTTAAAGACTTGGCCTTATTCCAGTGGAAAAATAAACAAAGGACAGTAAGTATATAAATGCATAAAATATGATACAGATAAAAGCTGTGAACAGGGGCGGTAAAAGGCCGTCTCGCGTCTTTTGCAGCACCTCGCGTGACAGGCCCTTCTAAAAATGTGATGCTCAAGTTAAACGAAGTTCAGCTTTTAAAAAACATTCCTCCCATTCCACTGGCCAAATACACATGCTTCGTGAATGGCCTAAGACTGCATGCTCATGACTTCTTTGCTGTTAGGAAACTCTGGTTTCTCTGAAATCTCATTAATTCATGTCTAGTGTGTTCACACACTTACTGTAAGAACCAATAATATTTGTGTGTGTGTGTTTTTTTTTTTCTTCTACTCCGGAGATGGTGTTAAATATGCTGTCTTTCTTCCTTTATGCAAACAACATTTATAGATTCCTCGTGTGTATTTAAAAAGAAAATGCTGCATTACCAGTCAAAGGTTTAGACACACTTGCCTGAATTTATGTTTCTCATTATATTAAAAACTTTTTGGTCTAAAGCTTTATGCGTAAATGCTTTAAATTTGTTTGGTGGAATGAATAAATTGTGCCTGCAATCATTTTATTTACAGAACTACAGTTTCATATTCATAAATAGAGCTGATAGCATACTTCTGAACACGTTTCATGATGTTTTAAAAGCTTATTTTTATTTTAATTATTTATTTTAATTAATTTTAATTATTTATTTATTTATTTTTTAACATTTCGATATAATACTTCCATTCTTAATGGAAATATGGGATATTAATGGGATAACAAAGGAACAAACTGAAGTTATAATGTTAAACAAATAATAGTAATAATAATAATAATAATAAAAATATTACAGTATAATTGCCATGCTTGCATTTGATAGTTTTATTGGCATCATTATTGATCTGAAATATGGAAGAGATCAAGTGCATTCAAACTTTTGACTGATTTGAGTTTACATGAGTTGATAGTTATACAGAGTGGCTCACTTTTGGAGAACCTGGGTGGGTTGTCATTGACGTCACTCAGGGTGATGTTGATGGTGGTGGTCCCTGCCAGACCCCCTAACTGTCCACCCATGTCTTTGGCCTGGATGAGGACCTGATACAGCTCCTTCACCTCCCGGTCCATGTTGGGTAGAGCTGTCCTGATGACTCCTGCACACAGATCGAAAGAGAGCCAGACTGCGTTAATGGAAAGAAGAGACCAGAGTAAAGGACGATAAAGAGAGTATAGATGAAGAGGCTGTGAATACAGGCAGGTATCAGTGTGTGGAGAGAATCGGATTACAGAAAAGAGGGTAAGGTGAGGAGAAGAATAGGGTTTAGACCTGAGAATGAGGTCTGCTGAGAAAAGGATGAGAATGGTAATCTGAAATAGCAGACGCAATTGAGATAAGAAAATTGAGAGTGGCAAAAAAGGGAAATGGATGAAGTTCTGCTGCATTGTGGAAAAGGAAACTGAACTTAAAGGTGTAGCGTGTCATTTCTGTGCTATTATCGGTGTCCTGAAAATCTGTCTTGCCTCTCAGCATGACTGAACCCAGCTAGATTTGTGTTGTTTTATGGTTTGAATTAGTGTTTGGAGGTTATAGGTTAGTCCTGCTTCACAAAATGCACTGGCTGATGAGATGTCACCTTTGTTTTTTAACACCTGTATCATGGTGGTTGTGTGTCCCAACAGGTTTTAACACGGAACGGGTCAAGGTTAGCATGGCCCTGTTAGCCTCTGATACCACAGCCATTTAATACAAAAAAAGCCTCTTACTCTATTACTGGCTGAAATGTTGCTGTACTTGACCATTCTCAACCTTTTCTCTGACTGTTAGAATTAAAGGAATAATCAGGGTTTAATACAAGCGAAGCAGCATTAGTATGTATGTTAATAATCACAAAAATAATTTCAAAGTGGTTAGGGTTAAAGTGGGGCACTTACATTGAAAGTATAGGGGCCAATTTTTTAAAGGGTTTAAAAGCATAAATCTAAAGCTTATAATTTCATAAACGTCTTTTGACGGAACAGTGCGTTTTTTTCAGCATGAAATGGACATTTTGATAATCTTTACTTCTCTATTGTGGAGTGTGTCTGAATAAAATAGCTTCTTCATTGACAAAAAAAAAAAGTAAGGTAGGGCGTTGATGTTTTTCAAGAAAGATCACAGGCACATGACTTTGAATAAAAACAATAATGATATGCACTGATATCACTATAATATGGATAATACATTTTATGGAATATTGAGTATTATAAACACTGCTATCGACCATACAAAAATAATTGTACATTTTGATTTAATGTCTTTAATGTTAACAAAATGCAAATTGTATGTCGCTAAATACTGAATAGGTGTTAATGCAAATTAGTGCATCCATATATCACACTAACAACGATTTCTGAATGCACCATTTTTTAAAGCTTAGTTTCCAAAAATGCCTTTGGTTGAAACATGCTGGAAAAATATATGGCTATACGGTTCTTTGGGTAAGTTCTTGATATTATATCATACCCCCTCCAGAGCACATTATTGCTTCTAGGAATCAGCTGCTAAAGAAAAAGTGAAGTTCTCCAGGGTTCTTTGAAGCATCAGCACCCATATTGCTCTTAAGTTAAAGACTGTAAAACCCTTCCTGGAACCAGTACCTTTATCTTCAAGTGTTTTTCTCCAGCTGAAAGATTGAGGTCAGCCCTAAAGCTTCTGGTACTTAACAATCTTAACAAGGCAACAAAGCTAGTGTAGCAACACCTTTTCTTCCATAAAGCACAACTAATGCGTTTCCCAACGCCACAAGAAGCTTTCCCAGATCAAGAGAGCGCTTCATAGGATGAATTAGACATGGTGGCGGATGGTTAAGAAAGGCATGGACCTTCATTCAATGCCAATTTCAGATGAAACGTAAAAGGGATGTCATGTGTGATTCTCTCGGCCTGTTAAAGGATGGATCTGATTTTTGATTTCCGTTTCGCATGAGCAGATCTCTCTTTGAAGTTTGTGTGGTAATTAAATGAATAGTTCACCTAAAAATGACATTGTGTTATCATTTACTGCATGACCATTCATTTTTCTTGTATTGAAAGCAGAAATTATGCCTAAGATCTTCCTTTTTTATTTCACAGAAAGAAGAAAGAAAATTTGGAGCGATTAAATGGTGGCAAACTTTCATTTTTAGGTGAACTGTTCCTTTAAGACGTGTGTGTCCTGAGCGAGCGGCAACCTCCCGCTCTCTCTCATGAAGCCAACATGGAAGTGACCATTCTTTATAATTTTATTCAAAACTCTACTACACTCCAGAATCTGACAGACTGTGATTAGCTGTAACGTTAGGCCTGTAATTAACGTTACTTGGACTCCTAAAAAGGCTTCTCGTCTGTGCAGTGAACACCTTGAGCACCTCAGCGCCACCCACCTCCACATATATTCCTCTTTGCAATGCCTCTTTGCCCATTTTCGATTATCCGGGAGTGACGCGCTGCCAAGATGGCGACAACCGGCTCCGCCCACTTTGGGCTTCAAAAAAGCTCTTCAGAATTCAACGGGTGACGTCACGGACACTACGTCCATGTTTTTTACAGTCTATGGTCCTGAGTCTGTTTTCTCTCACGCACTGCACTCAGTGCACGTTATTGATTCCGTTATGCATTTTACCCCCTGCCTTTGTTTCCCAGCCTTCTCTCACGGCTTTTGTTTACTGTCAGTTTGTTTTGGCAGATTTTTTGATATGGCGTGGGACAAAACTAGATTTTTCTTCCTTACTAGTCATTTTATTTGTTCGGCTACAGAATGTCACCCTTTAAGCCCCCCCTCCGGGTTTGCTGATATCAGGATATTATATTTGTATTCATATATTCCTCTTTGCAATGCTTCATACTTGTACAACAGGGCCGTAACCACACCGAAAACAAGCAGGAAATGTCCGCACGTGCTCTGTGCATCAAGTTTTTCTTGCAGGTTTGTGCTTTTGCATATTGGATATTACAGCCCATTGAATGCAGGCGATGGCCATTTGTAAATTCCCATTCATTGCTGTAAACGCTCCTGAATATTGCATAACGAAGTATTCGCTGGGAAAAAATAAACATGCAGTTTATTTGCTGCATCATTTGATGATGCTACAATTCCCCCAAGCCATAAAAACAACAGAGAAATCCATTTGCTGTTACCGGGCTGACTTTATTTTCAACTCGGAGGGTTTGAAATGCAGCACCTGATTGTATAATTATAAATCTTTTCTGGCCTGTTTAGCTGACAGGATGTCCGTTACTGTTCTGCTGTTCAGAATGAATTGCAGTATATTTTGAGTTACAAATCCATTTTCTAGGCTGGCCACATTATCAAATCAAACCGCAGAGCTTATTTGTCTAATAGGGTCAATGAATGTAATTACGTTGAAACCTGTGAACTGTGAAATTAATGAGTCTTGTCTGTTGTATTACACAAACAAAACAGAGGAACTTGTTTGTTAATAGTAATTTCATTTTTTTTATGCAGCCAACATTTTTCTGTATATTTGCTATCAAATATTGAGGAGCGTTTTACCTGTTTTGGGATCCACGGAGAAGTATGGCTGGCCGTGAAGTATGCTGTACACCACCCTGGCACTGTTGCCGTATGTAGGGTCGTCTGCATCTGTCGCCATCACCTTCATCACGTATGTACCTGCACACACACAGAAGATATCATTTGTCTGTGTTAAACCGCATGAATAGATATGGGAAATGTGCTTTGGTCAAGGTTATAACTGTAATAGCATGTAGGGTTTGGCCGGGACTGGAAAACAGGCCTATACAGACACATCATTATATGCTTTGCTTATGATGGGCTGATATAAAACCAAGTATATGGCTATGTACTGATTCTTCACTGTGTTTTGATGTGTTTGAAACAGCAGTTTTTATATTACAAAGGCAGCACTTTTAAATGACCCAATAAATGACAAATCATCCGTACTAGAAAGAGCTGATGGTCACGGGTCGGTGAATCCTTGTGTTTTTCTGAATTGCAGCGCAATACTGTGCTCGACCACCTCACATTTAGCAGGAATCATGTGTGTTGTTTCTCTAATGTTATAAATGATTTGCTTTTTTATGCAAGAAAAGTTTTCTAGAACAGTTTTCTGATTTTATCCATATTGCACTCCTGCTTATGTGATATTGCTTATATATATAGAGCGTACAGTATATGATGATCTATCTATCTATCTATCTATCTATCTATCTATCGATCTATATATCTATCGTTCTATCTATCGTTCTATTGTTCTATCTTTCTATAGTTCTACCGTTCTATCGTTCGTTCTATCATTCTATCATTCTATCGTTCGTTCTATCGTTCCATCTATCGTTCTATCGTTCTATCTATCGTTCTATCGTTCGTTCTGTCGTTCTATCTTTCTATCATTCTATCTTTCTATCGTTCTATCTATCGTTCTATCGTTCTATCTTTCTATCTTTCTATAGTTCTATCATTCTATCGTTCGTTCTATCATTCTATCATTCTATCGTTCCATCTATCGTTCTATCGTTTTATCTATCGTTCCATCTATCGTTCTATCATTCTATCTATCGTTCTATCTTTCTATAGTTCTATCGTTCTATAGTTCGTTCTTTCATTCTATCATTCTATCGTTCTATCGTTCGTTCTACCATTCTATCGTTCTATCGTTCCATCTATCGTTATATCGTTCTATCTATCGTTCCATCTATCGTTCTATCGTTCCATATATCGTTCCATCTATCGCACTATCGTTTTGTCGCTCTGTCTATCTGACATTCTATCTTTTGTTCTCTTTTCATCAAATTCTTCTTTCAGCTCATTGCATTCAGTTTTTGCACTAAAAAACCCCCCAAAAAAACTCTTGTTTCCAATTTAGTATGATCTCTTCTATCAATTAAAAGTGAATATAGCAAAAGAAAAATAATACAACTGAAATGTGAATAGACCCCTCATGCATCCTTTCAGATCTCCACTACCACTTTATTTAATTTTAGCTAGTGATTCATATCTATAAGTGAAAGCATTCTGAAATTACATTTACATGAATCACAAACTCACTTCTATATGAAATTGATTTTTTCCCCTAGTTTATGTATAAAGAATGCATGAGGGGTCTGTTAAAAACATATGGTTAAAAGTTAACAATCCACAACATGGAACTATTAATGCTTGTAAAGACTACTGCAGTCCACTTTGATTAAATAATGTGATCAATTTAGACTAGATCGGAAAGTATATATGCACCACTTACATTATTGTAACATGCTTTAGTTTAGAAATGCTCTCTGATTTTGATTCTAGTGCACTTCTGTTCTTTATCTAATTGACAGCAGGCTTTTGTTACTGGCTTAATCGAGATATCAGTCGAATCTGTCCATTGTCTGCACCGTCTCTTTATTATCATAGTGTCCTGCCGCTAATGGCTAGTGATGGTTGTACAAATATTAAAAAGCACATATTCAGTAAACAGTTTTTTGTAATCATATTTGAAGAGAATATGAACATATTCAGAATTGTGGAAATGATTGGTTAATAGTATTATATGAATATTACATCCTGCCCCCAAAGCCTTGATTACTGCAAAGCAAACACCAATTTGGAGGTTAAGAAAGATACTATTTTTATATGTTACACTTTTTTGTTTAGAAGAACATGCACTGCAGAATTGTGCACAACAAGAACAGGCATATTTCATTAAAGTACATAGGGTCATTTGTGATTATTTATCTTTTGTGAAAACACTCAAACCGCAAGTAGAGTGAATTATCACAGTGTACTGTCTGAAACAAGAAAATAAACTTGAAGGCCTTGGAGGAGAGAGACAGAGCGAAAAAAACAAATGGAACCGAGAGGTAATTGTACAGATTTTAAATCAAGGCCATTTCCCAATGGAAGTCCTTTTCAACCAGCTGATGCAATTACTTTTTTTTTTTGAGTTCTCTCAGCACACATCGATATGCGTTCAGATTGTTCTGGCCTCCACACAGAGGTGAAAACAGAGATGTGAAAAGCATTAAAAACCCATACAGTTCCAGTCCTTTAAGTGACCTCCAAATTAGACAGTCACAGGCTGTCAGAGTGAAATTCTGTAACCCAATGGAAAATACATCCAGAGTCAAGAAACATGGGTAAAGCGTCTCTTGTTTGTTAACAGCATGACTCCGTTATGCCTTTGTGGTGGCAGCAGCCACAATCGAAATCACACAGACGTCTGCAGAATAGGTCTATAGCTTCAATAGGGACTATGGTGCACTTATAAACCGGTCTATTCACATTTCGCTATCTGAGATCATGAGTAGCTGTGATTCAGCTGGGAAGGGGAGGGTTTCATTTCATTTCTTTGCCATTCAGATCAAGGAAAAGGCAATCTCAAAGCGAATTACCCTGATCTGTCATCCTCAGGGAAAGCAACATGAAAAGGGCTTTGGTGCTGGATAGGGCATGTAGTTTATTACGCTCGACACCGAATCGTATGTCAGACTTTACCTTATTTATTTCTTTTGTTTATCTGAATATATGCCTGGAATTTCCATCATTTTCAGAACCTCTTTAAACTCATAAGTTTAATTTGAAAATGCTTTAATCTAAACAAAACTGCCGCGTGCTTTCTGCTTAACAGATGAAAGGCTATTTAATCAGTGATATTCTGTACGGTGTGTTGTAACGTAAGTGGTTTCTCACCTGCAATTTTCATTTTAACAGTATCAGGTTTTGTAAGATGTAATTAAACTTTCTATGCACTCTGCATTTCCAACTGTTTTATCCTCAGATACATTCAAGAGTGTGAAGACGAATTACCCTGATCTGTCATCCTCAGGGAAAGCAACATGAAAAGGGCTTTGGTGCTGGATAGGGCATGTAGTTTATTACGCTCGACACCGAATCGTATGTCAGACTTTACCTTATTTATTTCTTTTGTTTATCTGAATATATGCCTGGAATTTCCATCATTTTCAGAACCTCTTTAAACTCATAAACTTTAATCTGAAAATGCTTTAATCTAAACAAAACTGCCGCGTGCTTTCTGCTTAACAGATGAAAGGCTATTTAATCAGTGATATTCTGTACGGTGTGTTGTAACGTAAGTGGTTTCTCACCTGCAATTTTCATTTTAACAGTATCAGGTTTTGTAAGATGTAATTAAACTTTCTATGCACTCTGCATTTCCAACTGTTTTATCCTCAGATACATTCAAGAGTGTGAAGATATCAACTGGATTATGCAGCAGTAATGCAACGCAGTAATAACTTGTGCATTATTTTAATTTAGACAGGTCTTTATTCTATAATTAAGTATTTTGAGTTAATTACCTTTCTTGAGTGTAAAATCCCCATGGCTTGATATATTATATATACACTATAAACACTATCATGTTTATTTAAAAATTATATTTATATATATATATATATATATTGTATGGTTACTTTTTTTATTTAGATATTTTGATGCACTGAATTACAATGGAACATCATTTCACCCATATTTTGACATTTTATTTACACAAACATTAAAGTAGACATTTTACTTGCATTTAATATGCTTTCTGTGCATGTAAAATCACTTTTGTAAATTTAATTTGAAGCAGACACCAAAACGGGACATCTTATCTTTGACCCATATGTATAGTAGCATTCAGTGTGCCATTATTTTTACTTTATGATAATATGTGGTTACACTTTATTTTAAGGTGTCATTGTTACAGTGTAATTATACATTTAAGAACTGAGTAATATTAATTAACTACATGCAATTAATATATGGTTAGTGTTAGGGTTACTTGCTTGTAATTATGCATAATTTATTTTTATTATAATAGTAAGAATATTTGTAACGTGTAACAAGGACACCTTAAAATAAAGTGTTAACTAATATTTTAGTTCTACTACTACGACTACTACTACTACTACTAAATTAAAGTAATTCGTTTTGCCTTTTTTGGAAGTATAATAGCACACAGATGACCTCAAAGTTAATAGACATGGATTAAAATTCAATGGACTTTAAAATTTCAGATTTTTTAAGTGTGATAGTTTTTTTTTTCAGCACTGCTCTCTGCAACCACAGGGAGCCACTTAAATAGACCAACTTAATTACATGCTACAACAGACCACTCAACAGTAAAGACACTTGTGTAGTATAGCAAAAGTTAATTATACACACATATAGGGCAGATGGAGACAAAAACGTAATTGTAATATTTTAAGATAACCTCATGTTGTTTCTTGTTTTCTTCCATATCATTGTATGCAGATCCTGAGATATGGTCAAGACTAAATTTTGGATTAAAATGCTGTTCCAGTGTCAACAAAATATGTTGACCTAGGAACACATCTAACTCGGCAAAATCAGGACGTGCATCATTGTATAGCAATGTTGAAGCACAACAGACGTCTTATCAGACACTTATGGATTATGAACAGTTCCGCTGAATTTTGCTTACCCTAAAATAGTCTCTGAATGCTTTAATTTAATTTAATTTAATTTAATTTAATTTGTCTGAATTGTTCCACTCTGCTGAAGAATAAGCTTCATTGTGCCATGTTTGTAAAAATGATATGGAAATGTATAGACTTGTTAATGGTTTCAATATTTGATATGTTTTAATAGCATGCAATGAAGGCAAACAACAACTGTGGGCCCTTTTCTCATGTTTGCAACTAAACTGGTTAACAAGCGAGCTTTCTTCTGTGCCCTTGTCTATCATTTTGACTATAAGTCTGTGAAGTATCCAGTTAAATGTTATATAACACAAAGCAAGCAGCACTTCATTGACCATCATGTTTGCAGTGAACATAGCGTCATATTACATCGCTCCCCAGCGTGGCCTCAGGGATTGATGCATCGTCTGCAATCATATTTGACATCCAAATAATGGAGGCCATTATGACTTTAACAAGCTCTGCAATGTGTTCCATGAATGCAAGAGGATAGCGCTACATTGATCTGCTAGTAGTTATAGCGATTGGATTAACTTCTGGCCGGCCTTTTTAGAGAAGCAGAGACAGTAACAAAATAAGATCCCGCTGCCATCATCACCCAGAGCTGATGCCTTGGTGAAATAATCAGTAATACAATCAAGGTTTCTACCATGTGAGATGAGGAATCCTACTAGGGCTGTGTAATCCAGTTTGCTGGGGATTTGGAGCCCATGCACTTCTCATTATCTGACAGCACACAGCAATGTCTGGATTAGCTCCCCTCTCCCACACCAATGAATATTTGGCAAACTCCATAACATGTGGAAAAAACATAACCTCCAGCATCCCTCGCTGTAACACGGTGACAGTCATCCTTATAACATTTAGGCTTCATTGATTGGCTTCCACTTTCTTTCTTTCTTTCTTTCTTTCTTCTTTTTATTTCTTCTTTTTTTGGAATTTTTACAATTTAATTTAATTTTAGTGTAGTTTTGCTCCTACAGTTGTTTGCATTGTTCCACTATTTTATTTTATTTTATTTTATTTTATTTTATTCAACTGAACATAGCGTCATATTACATCGCTCCCCAGAGTGGCCTCAGGGATTGATGCATCGTCTGCAATCATATTTGACATTATGATTAAGAATATTTGTCCAAATAATGGAGGCCATTATGACTTTAACAAGCTCTGCAATGTGTTCCATGAATGCAAGAGGATAGCGCTACATTGATCTGCTAGTAGTTATAGCGATTGGATTAACTTCTGGCCGGCCTTTTTAGAGAAGCAGAGACAGTAACAAAATAAGATCCCGCTGCCATCATCACCCAGAGCTGATGCCTTGGTGAAATAATCAGTAATACAATCAAGGTTTCTACCATGTGAGATGAGGAATCCTACTAGGGCTGTGTAATCCAGTTTGCTGGGGATTTGGAGCCCATGCACTTCTCATTATCTGACAGCACACAGCAATGTCTGGATTAGCTCCCCTCTCCCACACCAATGAATATTTGGCAAACTCCATAACATGTGGAAAAAACATAACCTCCAGCATCCCTCGCTGTAACACGGTGACAGTCATCCTTATAACATTTAGGCTTCATTGATTGGCTTCCACTTTCTTTCTTTCTTTCTTTCTTTCTTCTTTTTATTTCTTCTTTTTTTGGAATTTTTACAATTTAATTTAATTTTAGTGTAGTTTTGCTCCTACAGTTGTTTGCATTGTTCCACTATTTTATTTTATTTTATTTTATTTTATTTTATTCAACGTTTGTTTGCATTGTTCCACTATACTGAAGAATACATTTCCCAATTGTATGCCAACTATCATCAAGGCTTCATTGATTGGCTTCCATAGTTTAAAACGGTGACTTTATTGATTGATTTATTTTCTTTATTTATATTTTATTTAATGTTAGTTTAGTGTACTTCAGTTTTGCTCCAAGGTTTGTTTACATTGTTCTATTATGCTGAAGAATAACCTTCAATATACCAGTTTTGTGACACAGTGACCATCCTTGTAAACCTTTTTATTTTATTTTATTTTATTTTAGCTCCGACTTTTTCTTGCATAATTCCACTGTGTTGAAGAATAACCTTCAATATGCCAATTTTGTAAAAATGATATGGATTTTTTGTCTTATACCTAACATTAAACAATACAGCAATCCTGTTTAAGTTGCATAAATCATTAGTCCAGGTTAATGTAGCATGAACAAACATGAATTATATTAATATTACAAACAAATATAATATATAGTAATCAAATAATATATTATTTATAGATTATAATAATGAATATAATTTTTTATTTATAAATTAACATTATTCTAGAATAATAAATGCTGTAAAATGATTTTTCATTGTTAGTTCATGATTCATTAACTAAAGTTAATGAATTCAACCTTATTCCATTATTTCCATAAATGAATGAATTAATGAAAAATCAGGGAAAGATCTTAATGGGCTTCTTACCCACAGGTGACATCTCAGGTACACTAGCCGTGTAGGGACCTTCCAGGAACTTTGGCTCATTGTCGTTGATGTCCTGCACCTTGATGACAAACTCTGACTCTGGTTCCAGCGGTCGGTTGGTCTCGATGTTCACCGCTTGAGCTCGTAGCGTGTAGTAAGGCTTCTCCTCTCGATCCAGACTGCGTAAAGCATGTATGTCCCCGGTGATCTGGTCGATGGTGAAGATGGTTCCAGCGCCCTCGCCTGAGAGAGTGTATTTCACTGCGCTTTGCCCTTTATCCAAGTCAGTGTGTAACTAAAGAGACATAAAGAAGAATATGTCATATGCATCTAGAATACACTGAGTGATCAAAATTTTGTAAAATCACCATAGTGGTATATTTGATGAAGTTAAGCGGAGTTGCAAAACATTGCCTTATTTTCCCAAAATATTACTAAGTATTATTAAAATAATAATATTTTAAAAAATATTTAAAAGTTGTTTCAGAATAGTGGAAGAGAGCATTGCATTTAATTGAAGCATGCTATAAATTACAAAATGTAATAATTGCCAGTGATGGCAGATTACAGTATTTAGATAAGAATAGCCTGTATGATGTTTACATTAAGAGTCTGGAAGTTTATAATGTAATTATTCCTGACAGAAAACTTTAGTGTTTAGTCGTTGACTTCACATTTAGGCATACTTAAAATATTTCCTTTGATTTGAACTCTGAGGATCTGAGTTGCTCTGTTAGCCTGCAGGTAGATGAACCTGACCCAAATCTATCTGCACAACACAGTCTTTTTTTTCACTTTGCCCAAATCCCCCTTTTTATTTTTTATTTGTTCCCCTGATTTCCTGCCCTCAAGCTAGATTTTACAGCAGACTTCTCATATTTTGTTTGTCGAGCTAGACTTGGAGAAAAAAAAGAAGACTCTAAAATTGACTGATGGTGGCACAATTCTGATTTTGAGTAGTTTTGATCATATTTTCAGTTTTAATCCATTTCTATGGCCACCAGATTTTTATGAATGTACTTCCTTTTTATTAATGATTTGAAATTTTAATAGAATTTTCCACACACATGATTTTTATTCTGAAAATAAATGTATTTCTTTCTTTCTTTCTTTCTTTCTTTCTTTCTTTCTTTCTTTCTTTCTTTCTTTCTTTCATCCATCCATCCATCTATCTGCAGTTACATGCATTTAATTCTGGTTTCAATTCTACATTCAAACCGACACCGCATTTGCTATCTCATAAATTCCGATTCAGTTCAATCCAATTCCATTTGAATTAAGGTGAATTGCATTTGAACACAGACAAATCAATACTATTGTTCATTAATTTGATAGCATATCAGCGCTGTACTGTGTTATTAATCATATGCATGTCTCTCATCTGAGGAAGCATCAATCAAAGATTGTGCCGAAGTTGTTGAGAGAGTCAAGTTTAAAAAAGCTTTTGTTTTTCCCAATCTGCATAATATCTAGAGCACACCATAAATCAAAAAGAGAGCTTTAATTATCAGACTGCTTTATTGTCATATAGGCCTATCTGCACATTCAGAAATGAATGAAAAGAAAGAGAATAGAGGTATGCAAAAGAAAAGAAGAGCTAAAACTCAGCAATCAATCCAGTAATAACTAGAAGTGGAAAAGTTAGGTGATACTAATTAAAATTTGAATTAGCAAAACAATAGCAATCAATTACACAAAGGGATTCATGTGCTGACTGGGTCCTTGAGAAACCTCACAAATATCCATGCAGAACTGGTGAGAACATCTTCTCTCTCTCTCTCTCTCTCTCTCTCTGATAATAAGTTCAGGAAGCTGGACTAAGCGGCCTTCCCAGACTCATTACGCTCTCAGAAGAAACACTTGCTCTTATTTTTTCACAAACATAACAAGTTCAAACCGTTTAGCATAAACTGACAAGCACAGGAGAGTGATAAAGTGAGAAATATGTTTACATGCAAATTTCTGCCAAATCAGAAAAAAAAACAGCAGAGGATATATACAGTAGAAAGCATGGAGAGGATGAGTGTATACTAAGATGTCTGTTGCCTGTTAGACATATTCATACACACCATTTATGAATGTTTGTAATTTGATTTGTTTAGGAATTTTGACCTTTTAAAAACTTTTAAAGGTATTTTAAGAATATTTGTGAATATTTAATATTACATAGGAGTTCTTTAAAGTGAAAAAGTTAATAGTATTAATTTGATTTGGGTAAGCTCTTTTTTTATTTATTTATTTATTTTTAAATAATATTTTCATGCTTAAGGAATGGTTCACCCAAAAATGAAAGATTTGCTAAAGACATTTACTTATCCTGAGGCCATACAAGATATAGATACATTTATTTCTTCATGGGAACATATTTAGATATTTTTTTTGTTATTACTTGCTCACCAGTGGATCCTCTGCAGTGAATGGGTGCCGTCAGAATGAGAGTTCAAACAGCTGATTAAAAACATCACAATAATCCACAAACCATCAGTTAATATCTTGTGAAGTGAAAAGCTGCGTTTTTAACTTCAGACCATTGCTTCTGGCAAATATATGTGTCCTCCGTTCATAATATTACTTTGTCATCTTGTCTGAATGAGAGAAATATGCACAGATCAAGCACCGTTTACAAGCAAAAACAGTCCAAAAGAGTTCTAAACAAATATGTCTGTGAATTTTGATGCCGGAGTTCAACAGGTGATGCACTTTTTTTTACTGGAGGAAGCATTATTATGGATTATGGACTCGATTTTCAATTTTTTTAAACAAACATACAGCTTTTCACTTCACAAGACATTAACTGATGGACTGGAGTCATGCGGATTACTTGTGGATTATTGTGATGTTTTTATCAGCTGTTTGAACTGTCATTTTGACGGCACCCATTCACTGCAAAGGATCTGTTGAGCTAATGATATAATGATACATCTCTTCTAATCTCTTCAGATGAAGAAACAAACTCATCTACTTCTTGGATGGCCTGAGGGTGAGTACATTTTAAGCAAATTTTCATTTTTGGGTGAACTATTCCTTTTAATAGAACTCTGTGCATATTATGTGCATTTAAAAAAAAAAATTGCAATTGTGATTTACCTAATGAGATAATGCTAATTTCTGAAGCATGCTTAAATATAAATACTTTTATTTCAACAAATAGAAAGTTACATTGCAAATCTAAGGCTTCACACATATCTGCTTAACAACTTCTTTGCAAATAGTGCAAGTATACAGAAAGGCTTAGACCTCTATTATGCTATTCTCAGCTTAAATGTCTCGAGTAAAGATAAGCACTGGGTTTTATGTGTTATTGTCTCAGTCAACAGGTGCTGAGAGAGCAACAGTCAAATACTTGCCTCCTCTCACAATAGGGACAATTAGAGGCCTGTTCTACCGCCTGCGGATTCAATAGGGTCCTAATATACTGGATGAATAAATAAAGGCTCTATTATCATTCTGAGCCATAAGCGAAGAATCAACCTGTCAAAATTACTTCTTCAGCAGTCTTTTTAGTGGTTACACAACCAGTAATTTTATTAAAGCTGTAATTCCTTCAGAGATTATCAAGAGAAGACTTTTAAAAATATGTTTGCCTGATATTTATAGTGTTTTTTTCCACTAAGCCCTGACCAGATCTCCTTGATCTATTAGTGTGCTTTCCGTGTGGTTTATAACCTCAGCTCTCTACATTACATATGTGTTTCTGCGCTGTGTGTGTGTGTGCATGATCATACGGTTCGCTACATGGTGTCTGGCCAGTAATTAAATGCATGTTTGGTTTGCAAAGGAAGTGTCAGCTCCATGACTGGATATTTCCTACACACCAGGATACCGAAACCCCTTGAGGACCAGCGTTCCCGCACACTCGCTGCATGCTAATATAGTCAGACCGGGCCTAAACACTCAGCCAATTCAGTTAAATAAATACATTCCCCAGTGTGCAACGACTGCAAGGAGTCTGAGGAAACCAGCACTAGAGTCATTTACTCCAAACCCGTGTGCATATGTGTTTATGGATCTGTTTATGTGTTTATGGATGTGAAAAGGCAGATATCTGTGCAAGAGGATAAATATACATCTCTATGTGTGTGTGTGTGGTATAGATCCATTAGGGGTGTGCGGTGTGATTTAAATATTCCATAATATGTGGATTTTATTTTTTTTTTTAAATCACAGTATACAGTATGTGTATGCATGCATATATATATATATATATATATATATATATATATATGCATACTGTGATTTAAAAAAAAATCCACATATGATTTTGGTATAATTGGATATATAATATAATATCCTGGATATTATATGGATTATTTTTTTTTTTAACATATACAAAGTCTCTGTGCTCGATAAGGATGCATTTATTTAATTTTACTATAATAAAAACAGTAATATTTTGAAATATTATTACAATTTGCATTAACTTTTTTTCTATTTTAATATATTTTAAAATGTAATTTATTCATGTGATGCAAAGCTGAATTTTCAGCATCATTACTCCAGTCTTCATTGTCACATGATCCTTCAGAAACATGCTGATTTGATGCTCAATTTTTACTGATGCTCAGTTATTAATAAATGTGCTCAGCTATTTATAATGGTTTTTATTATCAAGTTTTTGCTGCTTAATATTTTTGTGGAAACTGATACATTTTCTTTCAGGATTCTTTGATGAATAAAACATTATGAGGAACAGCATTTACTTAAAACAGAAATCTTTTGGAACATTAAACCATATTCATAAATGGGTGTGTTTAGATCAGGATGTGTGTTTTACATGCATCATGTCTGTAGTGTTGACAACAATAGGAGAACGGAAGCGGGTCTGTGTTTGTTTTTTTACCGTATGTGTGTTTTTGGGCAGATGCTGCATTAGCCACAGTGTTTGTATTTTGTGTTTGTCACATTTCTGGTGGTCTGGGGCGCAGATTCACTGGAAAACTGTGAAAGCGGTCTCACACTCCTGTAGTTTGTCGTACAGTTCGCTGTTTGATTACGTGGTACAGAAAGAAAGCGTGAGAGAGTTTTTTGAGAGCTTGCTCACGAGGTGGAATACTGATGTGCCTGTGTGTGTGTCTGTGTGTGTGTGTGTTTTATGAAACAAACACACCAGCCCCAACAGATGGAGACAGTCTCAGGTGGATAAACGGCTGATCTAATCACAAGCAATTAAGGAATACTACATTGTATTTCCGCATCAAAACTGCAGCAACACACTTACATAACAACTAGAACAAAAGAAAAGCTGCGTATAAACAAACAATCAAAGTCCGTCAGGCTCAAAGGACAAATCTGACAGTAGCTTTTCAAATTACTGCACGTGCTGTGATGACAACCAAAACACAAGAGCACACATTTTTTTGTTCTGGGCTGTTTTCTCAATATTTTCTTACATAACTGTCCCTTTATTTGTTTATTTATTTAACAATGGACACTTTTCCCTTCAGGACTTTTAGACAAAGTCTTTTACACTTTTCACTCTCTGAGTTAATTTGTTTAAAGGGATAGTTCACCCACAAATTAAATTTCTGTCATTAATTACTCACCCTCATGTCGTTTCAAACCTGTAAGACCTTCATTCATCTTTGGAACACAAATTAAGATATTTTTGATGGAATCTGAGAACTGTCTGACCTTGCATAGACAGCAATACAACTGAAATGTTCCCAAGTCCAGAGACGTAGCAAGGAGATCGGTAAAATAATCCATGTGACATCAGGGGTTCAACTGTAATTTTACGAAGTCCTACGTTGTTGTGATTTGATCTGAATGAAAACAGCGTATGCGTGTGACGCAGCGGACACAGAACAGCATACGCTGTTTATGTCCAGCGGATATTCTCCAAAATGGTGCTACAGGGTGATACGGAGGAGAAGAATTGTTGAATAAAGTCGTTTTTTTTTTTTCTTTTTTCTTTGCATACAAAAATTATTCTCGTAGCTTCGTAAAATTATGGTTGAACCCCTGATGTCACATGGATTATTTTACAGATCTCCTTGCTACGTCTCTGGACGTGGGAATATTTCAGTTGTATTACTGTCTATGCAGGGTCAGACAGCTCTCAGATTCCATCAAAAATATCTTAATTTGTGTTCCGAAGATGAACGAAGGTCTTACGGGTTTGAAACGACATGAGGGTGAGTAATTAATGACAGAATTTTTGGGTGAACTAACCCTTTAAATTTACCCTGATTTTTCTTAGTTTTTTGGCTTATATTTAATCTCAAGTGCTTCACTATGTTGTTGCCTTGGTAGTACACCAATTTTTGAAAAACATATTAGGAGCAAAATTGTTAGTCATGGTGGAAGTGGCATCACAACTAGGGGAAGGCATAAATAGTTAAACGTTTTTGAATAATTTGAAATTATTTAGATGTACAGATTTATAGCTTTAAAACCATACTTATACATTACATTATATGATTATTTTCACAACCTTTTTTTTTTTTTTTTCATGTTTTAATTAATGTCTGTTTTGGGGACAATACAATATGTGCATAAAAGGCATGTAAAAAGTTGCCCTCAGCCAAAAAAAAAAATGTTTTGTGTACATTGCCATTCAAAGGTTTGGGGTCAGCATGCTTTTTTATTTAATAAATTAATCATTTGTATTTTGTGAGGATGAAATACATTTAATCAAAAGTGAAATATGATGTTACAAAAAAAATCGATTTCAAATGAATGCCCTTATAGTTTACACTTTCTACATGCATAGATGGTTTTCACAAATATTTTAAGCAGCACAACTGTTTTCAACATCGATAATAAGAAATGCTTCTTGAACAGAATCTCAGCATATTAGAATGATTTCTGAAGGATCATTTGACTGAAAACTGGTTTAATGGCTGCTGAAAATTCAGTTTTGCACCACAGGAGTGAATTGCATTTTAAGATGTAGTTTTATTGTATTTTTGGTCAAATAACTGTATCCTTGATAAGCATGAGATTTATTTCAAAAGCATTTAAACATTTTTACATATCCCAAACTTTTGAATGGCAGAGTACATGATATGCCGTGAAACTTCTTCCGTAAAAATTATAATTGTGATCACTGATGGCTGACATCAGTGACATCTGTGCGAACATGCAACAAATCAGCCTGGTTGCCGTAGTGATATTTAGCATTTTAATAATGTGCAATTAATAAAAAGTACCAGCTTGCAATTAATTAACTGATGCAAGATAGCCATGCTTTAATGCTTCTACACATGACAGATGAACACGGCTTATATCTAAATTATGCCAGAAATATGGATCATAGTTCAAAATATGAATAAGGTATATGAACAAGTTGAAGGAAAAGTGTTAAAAAGCTATTTTACTTTCAAGCCAGTAATATCAGCTCACTCTGAATTCATCTGGCCTCAATGCAAGGAGCGAGCGATACTGCTAGGAACATTAGCGTTTTTTAACTATCTCCAGTGCACTTCAAGCAGAAATCTCATTATTATAAAAGTTGGATTAAAATATGTGGAAGGTAATATTGGCAGTGCAGATAAATTACATCATTATTCCCTTTTTCCTTAACCAATCTGTGCCAGCGCATTCGTCATCTGTGTCATACGTTAACACCGCAAATGTCTTCTATTCTAAATGCGTTCAGAATGGGCCGCTGTATTGCTAGCATTTCACATGCATAATTTGGGGCCGAGTTATCCATACAAATGACTTCACATCTGCAGAATTAGTTTGGCATCAGGTTTTTGTGAGCTAAACGGCACAAGCTTTGGGAGGGGTGAGGTTACTGCAGCCTGACTGTTTCTGGGGTGTTGGATTATTGTGGTGCTTCGGTTCCTGCATGCAACCGACAGCATTTTCTGGTCATTTTGGATCGTAGTTCTTCAAATGTAATCATGAGTTGGATTAAGTAACCTTTAAACTGGATTCACCACAATATTGAAGGCATTGGTTGTCTCCACAGTGTCTGTTATGAAGGATTGCGTATCGCACAATGCTGCACATGGACGTCATGGAGATGTCATGTTGAGAGCTATTGAATAACATGTTTTCTATAGAAACCAATTGTAACTAGAACAATTACACAAGATAAAGTTGTGATTAATGTTGGATTGACAACAATAGACAATAAGCATTGAGTTTTGAAGGCTACATTCCCCTTGTATATTCTGAGGACTTCTGTTATGGTATTGTATGGATGAATTGATAGAAGTTTGCAATAGGGCTATAAGTATAGACAATTTAAAGGACTAGTATATGTTCCACTACAGGAAAACCTGACTGTAACATTATTGTGGTTTTCAATGGAAGTCTTTTTTTCTTTTGAAGTCATCCATCCATCCATCCAGTAAATACACCTTCATACTTTGTCCATCCATCCATCCGTCCATCCATCAATCCATCCAGTAAATACACCTTCATACTTTGTCCATCCATCCATCCGTCCATCCATCAATCCATCCAGTAAATACACCTTCATACTTTGTCCATCCATCCATCCATCCATACATACAGTAAATACACCTTCATACTTTGTCCATCCGTCCATCCATCCAGTAAATACACCTTCATACTTTGTCCATCCATCCATCAGCCTCATCCGTTAGAAAATATATAAGTCATAACAGACTGTGCTGAGTTTGGTGGATTCTTCTTAAAGACTTTGTAGTCAGCGGGTGTTGCAGTGCTTCAGTCCAAAAGAAGTTAAATAAAAAGCGCCCTCCATAAAAAAAAAGTGTCTCACACGGCTCCGGGGGGGGTGAACAAATGCCTTCTGTAGCGAATCGATGCGTTTTTGTAAGAAAAATATCCATATTCAAAACATAATAATCACTTCAATCTAGCTTGCGCTCACTGTTGTACAATGGAATCAGTTCCAGGCGGATGACGTATGGATGTCGGCTTTGTGCA